GTAGCTGTCTCAAAGACTTTATACCTTGGAATGCAGGGGGCATCAAATCTCCCTATGATTCGTTTCTGCTTTAATGTTTGCAAGAAAACCTGAATAGGCATTGGTTCACCAACGTCCAAAATGAAAGTCATGGCTTATGGCGTACTTTAGGAGGAAGATTTCATTCTTTTTGTCACTAATACCAGCTCAGAGCTCATCTGCTTAACTTTTTTCCACAGACAGGGCAACCTATTGAGCTTTCTCTTATAACATAGGAAGTATCAATGGATCAGTGTTTCATGTTCCTTGTGTGTTTTCCTCTGTCTTCTTAAACCGCCATTCAGCCTCAGCAGAAGTAACCTGACTCCACCAGATGGATTTGCTCCGCATATCCATCTGGAAACCTTCTGTTTAGGTAATTTTAGGAAGGGCCGAAAATACTGGTTAGCCTATGGCCTATGTTGGTGATAGACGGGCCAAATAAACCAATCAGATCAACGAAGCATATGATGTAACAGAGCGATGACGAAGAGGAACCAATTGATAGATCAAACTCTTGCAGAAACCAGTCGGAAGAAGAGCAAAAACATCTTTTCCTCTGAGAAAAGCCTCCAGAGCAGTGTTTTGCTCTTCTTTCAGTGAAGAAATACTCTGTAATTCCGATAAAACTTGCTCGATAGCCACGCTATTGCTAGTTTCAACGGCTGAAGCCGCCACGTTCTTTAGACTGAACTGTCGCGCTTCTCGTTGCGTCACACCTCAACCCGCCTCAAAGCCAACGCTTATTGGACGTTTGTTTGGTGAACGACTCCAAGTTTTCGTCAACGAAGAGTCTCCAGAATGATTAGCGAGTGAAACCTTGAAAGCTCACCTGATCAGAATGGTCTCACGAGGCTACAGCAGAAGGCCTCTAACACTGAGTATGGTGAGCGGCCATCTGCTGAGGCCGACTGGGGTTTAAGGAGACAGAAGCAGACATAGAAAAAGAAGCATAGATACAAAAGGCAACTGTAAACCAGCTCCTCAGGTGATCCTTTCCAGGAAAGCCAAATCTCTTAGGATTACTTGTTTTGTTAAATAGCATTATATAAATTAACTACAATGAATAGCGGTCTCTCTTACAGGGTCTTTTTTTGTATGAATGTTTGATGAACATTTTGCTTCACCAAGATCAGGTTTTATGCCACTTTTGCTTTGATATGGAAAGACTCAGAACCTGATTGGCTTAAAGGTTCTTTAAATTAGTTGGTAATGATAATTGTCAGATGGCTTGCTCAGATTGGCAGAGCGTGGGATTTCCCTGGGGGTCACCCCGGTTTTTACTACCTTTTAGATAAGGCAGGTCGTTCCGGTGACATCCCTAACTGTAACGGAATGATTGGTAAATTTGTATGGATGGTTAAATTCATGATGAGCAGTCACGCTTGCCGTTAGGAGTCCTCCAGGTGGGAGTGAGAGTAGATGAATTTGACCTTATTACAGTTATAGGCTCGGGTAACCTAGTCTAAGGTAAGTTAAAATAATTTGCGCATAGGAAACTAAAAGAGCCTTCCTTTAATTAGATGTAACACCAATTGTCGTTAAATTTAGTGGTCTTGAGTGACATTTGGTCTGTGAGGTTTTGATTGTGATTGCTTTTCGATCCCTGATTAATGATACATCATCAGGGAGACTGTTGATTGTTTATTCCATGATTCTCTGATGTTGAAAGGAACAGCACTTTAGATAATAATGGGTTTGTTCAAAGGTGACATTGAAACATCACCTTTTCAGGTGGAATTGTTAGGGTAATTATCATTGATGATGTTTTAGTTTATTACACCTTAATATGCCTGTTGCGTTTCAGAACCGATGTTTTCCCCAGTAGTTTATCTAATTAGACCAGTTCCTCTGTCCAGATATACAGTTATAATCTTCATTTTGTATGTGGCAAAGATTTGGGAATGGAGTGAAAGCGGTGTCCTTCAGCTAAGAGCAAAGTGTAATATTTTGATAAGTCTGGAGCCATGGATGTCCTCATCTGCAAACATGTATGATGTAACGATGTGAGGATGTTGCAGACTGGAGATGTATAAAATGCTTCTTTAACTGTTAATCGGGGCCACTTCCTGAGATGTGAGCCCAGTTTGTAGGCAGCTGCCTTCTGTAACTCTAAGCAACTTCTAAGCATCTGAGTAAGATTACAAGTTCTATCAAAATCTGTTGTCATGTCTCATGGTTATTTAATACATATAAGCTATGAAGTGTTATTTAAAGAGTTTGTCACGAGTGATCGCTTTTCAGGAAACCGTACCAGAGAGAGAAAGCCTCAAGGTGTAGACACAGAGCTTAGCTTTGACAATGATACAGATGATCAGGGTTGTCCATAACAGTCTTCATTTACCGGTAACAAAGAATTCTGAATTATTAAATCCTGCTACCCTAAAAGACCCTAACAATGGCAGAAGAGATCACACTATCCACAGCAGAAGATATGAATCATGTTGGTAATAAAACACTGAAGGACCTAAACTTCATTGGTGAGCAAAGTCTGCTCTGTCCTCTTTTGTAGACACCTTAGTGGTTTTTTCCTCAGTCCAGGCTGTTGTTTATATGAACACAAAGTTTTCCTAGACAAAGATACTCATTCACCACCTTTACATGAGTGGTCTCCCAGCTCCCTGCACTTAGCATCCTTAGCCTCCATCTCTAATATAGCGTTATCCTGGCAAACCAGACTGACAATGTGTAGCACTTAAGTGCAGCTTCTTTCTATTTAAAAAAATGAAAATATGGATTCTGACAAAGCAGATGTGATCGCTGTAGCTGCGTGTATGTCCCGCTGCGCTGCCATGTTTACTTTGGGCTGTGGGCTTTTGTCAAAGCCATATTTCTTGAAATAAATCATAATAGGTTGAAGATAATAATACAATGAAAATGATTTAGATTGGAGTGGTACAGATTGTATTTTATGTGAACGCACAAAATTTAGCAAGAATTTAATCTGAAAACAGCCATGATTGCAGAGTCATCTGCAGATGCAGAAGACAAGAGTCGGTCCCATGGCGAAGGGTGTGAGGTGTACAGAGTAGAGAAGAATGATGAGAGACCTTATGGAGCTCCTTTGCTGCTCAATCTCTGATTGGACACAAACCCTTAGTTGGTGCTCTGTTTTTTCCGTTAGTCTTTCATCGAGGTGATTGTTCAGGGTCCCACAAAGAATCCTCTGATGTTTTGAGTTGCCATGGTATTTGCTGAAATAATACGTAACTTTATTGTTTAGTTTACATGACAAGCGAATGTAAAGTAAACCAAACAGCAAAGATCTTATGAGTTGTCTAAGTTCTTTAAATAAAGCACTAAAGTACATTCTAAAGAAACAAAAAAATGGTGATATATCTTAATTCATTGTTATGTTCATGGATTTGAGCATAACTAACTGTAGAAAATTTGAGCCACCTCTAGTTATAAGCATTATTAAGAAAGTAAAATATTTTTAAGGGGTGAATATAATAACTGGAAGCTTTACCTCCCATCATCCAGATGAAATGCACATATATCCTTTTTAAGTCATCACTGAAATGCTAAGCACCGCAAAGTGTAAGCTTAATTACTGTTATTTCTGAAACAATCATCAAAAAGCTTGGTATAAATTACAGGACCATGAAATTGTTGATGTTTAAAAAAAGTTGAATTAAAAAATATATGTAAAAACAGACATGAATCCCAGAAAAATATGGAGAAATGTGATCAGTTCTGTAAGGTATGTAGATAGCAGATTAAATAAGGGGCTGGATTTTGACCACTAGAGGGCAGTGTTGCACCAGATTTGTCCTTGCTTCTACTGCAGTTTTTTAGTGCTCTTCATGGTTGCTCTTTACAAAATGTTGCATTGGATGGATCTCTATCTTCAACACAAGCCTGTTCTCCTACCTTACACCAAGCTGCAATGCTGAGTATTCAGTAGTACTTGACCATTGGTTGGAAAATCCAAATTCCTCTCTTTCTGCTTACATATATTCATTTATGACTGCCAATTTTGGCACTAGGTGCTACTTTTGTAATTTTGTTACAAATATCGTTCTACAGGAATAGCCATCCTACCAGCAAATAATTAAAAGTGTGTGGAGGCTACACTTACTTTCACATGTCGATATCTAAGATCCTTTACTCATTCAGAGTTGTGCTCTAAAGAGTACTGTGTTAACTTGTATCATACTGTCTGTTGGGTTTAAAGAACATGGTCAATAGACAAAAGACTGTTGATGCCATCAAAGTTGACATTGTCTTCAATTACCTGATTTCTGCCAACAATTGGGCTTTTTGTTGTTGGGAGAAAATAGCACCCCTTCAACCCTCATTTGGTCCTCTTTCATTTCTACAAAGGAAAGGATTACCTTCTAAATATATAAAGGCATTAAAAAATAGCATTGTCGTTAACATTACAGTACAGTATTTTTTATGTCAATTATCCTTTGTAAAGCAAGAGCAGCATATTTCTCCTCATTAATAGAGGAGAATAAGAATAATCCTAGATTTCTTTTTAATACAGTTGCCAAACTCACCCAGAGCCATAGCTCTGTTGAACCGTCCATTCCACCTACTCTTAGAAGTAATGATTTTATGGGATTCTTTATAAATAAGATGTGTGGATGCGAACACTTCATTGCGGTAGGTGAACACTGCCTCACAGTCAGCCGACCAATCGCCATTGATGGTTAGTGGTCTGTTGTGTCTTTTCTTGAAATCTACAGTATTTCTTTTGTTTAATTAATCTTGAGGTGTAGATTGTTAAATTAATGTAATCATTTTGTAATTAGTATTAGAGTTTACATGTAATTCATGTATTTTTTCATGTGCTGCATTAAAAACAAATTTCTTAGTAATATTTAATAATCAATTTAATAATCAACAGATACCTTAAGGCACAAATTCTTTACACATAAAAATTTGCATATAATTTAGATCAAAAGCAATCTTTTCAACCAGAAATGTGCTTGAACTTGTTTTAAAGTGAACTTCAAAATAATTTAAGGAAGCACTGCTGTAAAGCATATATTTTATTTCTTCCCCTGTTTTATAGACAATTTAGAAAATCAAATACATTGCATAAAACAAAGCCAGAGAGCATCATATTCTTCGCTTTGCTATTGAAGTAGACTTGGGTCACAAATTATAATTAAACAATTAAGACTGGCACAGTTAATAAGACTTTAGAAACATCTAGAAATATCTGAAAAGTTAATAGAAACATCCACAAATACAAATAAATAAAGTAAAATTAAGGCAGAAACTAATTAAGTGAAAACAACTTTTAACAAAAATTCTGCATTCCTTTTCACCACAGTACAGAACAACACTGGAGGCAAACTCCACAAAACACAAAACAGCAAACGGCACCTTTTACAGTGTTACAAACACAAAAGGTCAGTCACTAAATGGCATCTGTTCATTCTTTAATGTTTATTAATAGTATGGCAGGAAAAAGAGGATCTCAGCCAGGATACCTAGACAGACATCTTATTAAAATCAACAACACTCCTGTTGAAGTCCAATTGTCTGGAAGGCTTGAATCAGGGAGCAGAGGAGAAGCAGGAGTGGGTTCTTTTGAATGGTATGTTATAATCTGTGAGCCTTAGGGTTGATGAACTCGTTTTCATCCCATGGGGGCAAAATATCCAAACAGAAGAGTGATGAAATGAGGCGCAAGGAAAACGCTGAGGAAGCAGTATCCTTGATCTGGACCCTTTCCTTGGTAAGGTATTCAGTAAAAAAAGATTTTTTGCTATCTGACTTCCAAACAGCTGAGATACTCGTGGACCAGCTCATAGCAGAAATGGTACTGTTCCTGGAAGCAGAAGATATTATTAGTTGTGGGCACACAAATCTAAAACTATATTCCAGAGTACAAACATGACCTTAAAATTTTTTTTGAGATATAGTAATATATAAAGCACAGTAGTCAGATAAGTGTGAAGTTAATGTGTAGGTGTGGGGAGAAAAAGCAGTGAAGCAGCTAATGACCAGGGTTACATCTTATGCAAGAGCTGGCCTTGATGGACTTATCTAACAATTTTGCTTAGGATCGCAGATGGTTAAAACCTGAGGGGGGTAATCAAGTATATTCCTGTTGTATTCTATTTTATCTAGATATATCTATGCACAATGCTCAAATTGAGGGGGGTTGGCATATCCCCTTCTTAAAAAAACCTAAAAAATTATCCCCCTTCTTAAATGCCCATCCGCCCATACCTTCCCTTGTGACATTTTATTACTGAATGTGTAAAATTTCTACCATATATTATCAGTACAGGCAATAATATGAAACCTTCAACATTTGGCGGGCTTTGGGTTTACGTGTAGCCTGAGCAAAATAAGTAAAATCAAAGAAGTGGCCTACCCTGACTCTGAAGCTGCTCCCAGTGCCTTCTTCCCTTTTTTTTTTTTTTTTTTTTTTACAACTAGTCTACTGTCTATACATAGATGTATAGAGAGACAGACAGACAGACAGGTTCATTTACCATTGTCTCCACCATGTTTGGCATTGAGTTGCGCAGTGATTTTGCAGCAAAGAATACGTCCACCATGCTGTGATGCCGAATAATTTCCAAGGTTATGGTGCAGGCACAGAAAATACCACTCCAACCACCACCATCCCTAATTCAAGATAATTAAACAAAGGTGAACAGACATCAAGTATTGAGTAATAAGCTGAAAAAATATTTAGTACACACTCTAAAGTTAAAGGGGTGTTGACGCTATTATGGGGAAATGTCAGAATTTAACTAAACACAGAACATGCTTGCTATCAGAAAATTAGCTAAACTGCAGAGAAATATCCCTAAAATGATTGTGTTTCAAGAAATTAGCTCAGATCTATTCATTTGGTGTCTCTTATGTACAGAATGACCTGCAGAGGAAGTGCTATGTGGTCTTTCTTGTAATGCAAGAAGTCAATTTTTTGTGGATATAAAATTTTTTGATCAGGGAATATTTGGAATGAGAATAAAGCATGTTTTGTTGTTAATCTGACCAGTCTTAAAGATAGTAGTAATGTTGGCAAGAAAAAACCCAAAGCTTAAGAACATCAGTAGACTCACAGGCAGTGAACAGCAGTACGTCCTTCGCCACACTCTCTCTGCCAGTTGTGAACCTGAGCCAAAGGTCTAAGGAAAGCTTTCTTGGAATCAGGCACATGACGATATGGAGACCAGCGAAGGAACTGAAAGTGCCTCATGAGGAGCGGACCCTTCTGAAGCTACAGATGTTAGAGAAAGGGGGATAGAGAAGGAGAAGTAATTTACTATTTCCATCTTACATATAATGGTTACAGTGTAGACATCATTCACACATGCAGTGTCCTTAAACCAAATCAAGACCTCAATGTGTGGCTTGATTGATAATATTTTCGAAGTTTTTTTGTTTTAGTATTCACTCAGATGTCTATTTCCAGAAGACAGAAAGCCACAGAGAATCTATTTATTTACTTTTATGCACGCTGTGAACCTTCCACATCAATGCCTTTTGCACCATGTCTCTCCTACAGTGTTTACATTTTGGTCACTGCTGCACTTTATACACGGAAATGTTCATTTCACTGCTGAGCTGCTCATTCACTGTCAAAAAACGGTAAGTATCGATATTTCATTTTGTATACACTCAAACATTAAAGTTTGTCTAAGTCTAAGAAAGGAAAATGAGTGTGACTTGCACAACCAAGACACTGAATATAATATGCATTGAAAGAATGTTATTAGGAAATAATTACATAAAAGACATAAAAGAGGGCATAGGGCAGAAACCTGGGGAACACCAAATGTAATTACAGTGATAGGAAATGTCCTGGTTCTGAGCTGAGCAAACTGGGTAACACCAAAGGGAAGGAACAAAGTTCCAGTTTTATTGTTCTTGGATAGCGCAGCTTGTTGTTGAGCTGCAGACATTTTACCCTGAACTTTGGAAGAATATAAATCATTCAGAACATGATGATTTAAATTTTGAATCATTTTGACTGAATGATCTGGTGAAAGTGCCTTGAGATGACATGTGTTGTGAATTGGCGCTAGAGAAATAAACTGATTGATTGATGATTCAGTCACCTAAACAGGTTTTACAGATGAAACAAGCAAATATACTGAATATGAAAATAATATAGATGTAAATGGCCTGTACTTATATAGCTCTTCATCAAATCACATGCTGATGGTGGTGAGCCACAGTGAGGAAAATACAGTGAGTATTTTAAAACCCTGCTATTTTGCCAGTTCTACCACTTAGAAATTACTGTCCACTGTGAGAGACATAATCTTAAAAAACAAAAACAGAAATCACAATATAGGATTTTTTTTACTATTTATTTGTACGATACAGCTGAAAATAAGCATTTACAGTTTTCTATCAGCTAGAGTTCTGACCCACAAAGTCCTGTTAGTCTGCCTGCCGGCCTTGATGCTCAATTTCACATTTTTTTGTGTGAAATCCAATTTCTTTGAGTTGTCTTTCATATTTCCAAATATTTGCGACTTTTATGTGATCTCCTGTGTGAACTGCAGTCATACAACACAAGTGTCCCGTATGCACAGTAGAGGATGCAATGATGTGGATGGTAGTGCCGAAGCGCATCTGGTGATCTGGCGTAGTGGTTAGGGCATAGGGTTTTGAATCCTGAGGTTGTGAGTTTGATCCCCCACTCCCACAGACTGCCACTCTGGGTCCCTGAGCAAGACCCTTAACCCCACACTGCTCCCCAGGCTCCGCACAATGGCAGCCCACTGCTCCCCAAGAGGATGGGTTAAATGCAGAGAGTTCATTTCATTGCTCTGTACTTGTGACAGTGTAATGACAATAAAATTAAATTATTATCTTTTCCAACCATAGATACACAATCATTTCAAGATGGTTAAACATAAATACTGCTCTCTGCATCATCGTCTGCCATTGTTGTAGTTTTTCTTGCCGCTTCTGTGTAGCAAGACACAGAATAGTGACCTTTGTCAGGTATTAATAAAGTTCAGGTCGGATTAATGCAACCTGGCCGTTCAGACACAGGTCGCATTTGAAAAGATGAGATTCGTATTGGATTTCAGGACCACATAGCCAAGTGGCTATGTGGTCCTCGGATCTGTGTTGTTCAGACAGCCATTAAAGATCAGATCCAGGTCGCATATGGACCAGAAAAATCGGATTTGGGTCTCTTCAGGCTGCAGTGTGAACGTAGCCAAAATGTCCATCTCCCCTTATTATCCTTAATTAGATGCACCTGTTTTAGGTCGTTAGCTGCATAAAGACTCCTGTCCATCCAATACAATCTGTAAGAATCTAACTACTAACATGGCCAAGACCAAAGAGCTTTCCAAAGACACTAGAGAAAAAATTGTAAAACCTGTGTTTATTGGAACATGCCTTTTTTTATTAAACCAATTTAGACATCCAAGTAATAATCCAATAGTCAACACTCTGTTCCTATGAACATGTGCTGTCATTTGCCTTTGCAATATCCAATATAAAGTTTAACCTGAAGTCATATAGAAAGGGTGATGATCAATTAAGCCCACTTACCTGTGTGATATTCTGTATCCGGAACAGACGGATAATAACGTCCTCATCTGCAGTCCTGGACAAAAACTCCACAGTCACAGACCCGAACTGCTGTATTCCAGGCTCAGGCCAATATTGAAGACAAGGCTAGGAAAAGAGAGGCCAGCAAAATAAGACAGCAAGTCATTAGCCCACAAATCAAAATGCTATGTCGGTGTCAGGTGACACTAAGGTCAGAAAGACCCCTGGATATTGACAACAGATACAATTAGCCTAAATGACAATTATCGACAAACTGAAAGCTGTAAAATGAGAAAAAAAAGCCTTCCTGATGGCAAAAAATATTAACTTTTGTGTTCCAGTCATAACATTAATGTTATAAATTCATGTAGAAAGAGGCTTTGGCTTTACCCAGAAGATGCAAAAAAATAAGTTAACTAAAACGCTGGATATACTGAAAGCTTAGCTTCCAGTCATCCCATCATTAATAAAATTACATCTCATCCCAAAAATGGGACAGCAGCAGTAGTGCTGAAACACATGTTCTGCATTGACTTTTTGAAGTCAGAAGCAATAAGTTAAAGAAGGGTACTGACAGGTAAATTGGGCAAGAAGAGATAAATATTAATTCAATCTGAAAAACTCACACAAAAATAAAAGACAATTAGGAGAAATTTATTATATAATGTTTTTAATAGAGGCATATGAACACTATCTGTTCTGGTTTTAGATGCTGCACATATTCGCTTTGCTTTATAGAATACATCAGTGTTTTGTTTTTTTATTGTCTTAGTAACTTTTCATAGTCTATCCAAGTCAAATGTGGAATCTGCGCAGATCCGCCCAGCCTGCCTAGTGGAAGCCTCTCTATAAGCAGTCAGTGTGACATGGAAAAAAGAGATTAAAAAGTCGAGCGCAACAGGTGTGTTCAGGCCTTAAGAGTGCAGATTCTGTGAGGGAATGTGACGTTGACATTTGCCTATATAACCTATATCAGGCATCCCCAAAGTCGGTCCTCAAGGGCTGCTGTCCTGCAGGTTTTAGAGGTTTCCCTGCTTTAGCACAGCTGATTATTATGATTGCAGTTGAGCAAAATCCTGTTAATCAGCTTTCAATTAAAATCAACAGTGCTGGAGCAGAGACAGCGGCCCTCGAGGACCGACTTTGGGGATGCCTGACCTATATAACTTTCCTATGGTTTTTCCTACCTGACACTGTTAAAGTAAAAAATGTACCTTGATAAATTGTGTTTCTGTGCACGACCTGTTCAGATAACGAATACAGTTAAGAAGAAAAGCTTTACTGTTGGTATAAAAAAAAAACACTTGAAAAAACACAAGAAAAACTGTTAATAAATGGATACACAAACTAGAAAAAATGATTTAAGGTTTATGGTGTATCTCACCCATGCAGAATTGGATTGGTTCAGCTGGTTCAGCATCACTACAGAGGTACAGTCGTAGTCATATATGAGCCTCCAGAAGTCAGTGGTGGTGTTAGGCAGCGGATGTGGCATCACCAAGAAGGCAGCAGGCTGGAGGAAGCTGCTGGCAAGCACTGCATTGATACGGTTGCTGCTCTCACCCTCTGTGGCCAGAGAGCGATCTGGGGGCAGAATGTCCATACTCTGGTTCTTCTCTCTATTCGTTGGCATCAAAGAGATGCTGCCCTCTACATCCAGGTGAGGGGTGACAGAGTTCAGAGTCTACACAGAAAAGATGGAGGAAGAGTTGCAAACACAAGTTAAAGATAATTAAGGCAGATAGATATAAGTTGAGTTTATTGTTTAGTTATATGAATTTAATTCAAAATAGATTTTTGTAACTCTTTATAATTTTTTTAAAATTTGAATTTACAATACAGAATTTTTAATCTGCGCTATTATGTATTCGATCTATTCCACATAAAATTCAAGAGCAAAAAGAATCCCTATGAAAAACTGACTGTAGAAATTCACATATTAAAATCAGCTGCAAAAATTCGACAGCAGTAATTAATCTAAAATACATTCAGATGCCAAAATTTGAGTACAAAAAACCAAATAAGCCAATTTAAATGTTATAAAGTATAAAAAGCATGAGAAAAAAAAAAACATTTCAACTTAGTCTCCTCTTTAAAATGGCTCTTTTTGAATGGCTGATAACTGTTACCTGAAATTCCTCTTTCAGTTGTGATGTGTTGCTCTGAGAATCAACTTTCAGCATTTCTTTGTAGGTCAGAGCAAACTCTGACACAGGGATGGAGGTTTCCCCACAAAGACAAGCCTCAAGGATGGCATCATGGATGAACACGTACTGCTCCTACAGGACATACGGTACAGCATTTAGAGACTCACTGAAGCACACAGACACCTCATCACGGCCAGGCCAAGTGTTCTGAACAATGCAGAGTTCAGTTACTGCTGCTGAACGCTGAACAACAGCTGTAGAAGGAATAAGTTCCTCACATACTGTAGCTGTGCCAATGCAAAAGCTCTGTTACAAAGCAGAGTACTGTCAAAAACAAAGAAGGACACTAATGGCTTGTTTATTCAACAGTAGGTGGATAGGAAAGGGGGGAGAGACATGCAGCAAATGACTGCAGGTCGGAAATGAACCGGGGTCGGCTGCATCGAGGACCAAGGCCTCAGTGCATGTGGCGCACGCTAACCACTGCCCACCGAAGCACAATTATATGGATTTCTGGACATTTCTTTTTTCTCACTAAGTCTAGTAGCCTGCTTTAACCAATGTAAGGTGACCTTTTTTTCTTCAGCAAAGTTTAAAATAGCACAGGCATCTGTGCGTTTATATAGTTAAATAAAAGACTGGTTAAAAAAAAAAAAACATGCACAGTTACTGACTACAGTACTGTGAAAGATCTTGACAATTTTCATACGACTGAGAAGAGGCTGTGCTAAAATCTGCTTTTTGGATTTAGTGAACATGTGGTTACATTTCCATTTTAGAGAAAACGTGGCAATAATTCTGTATTTTAAGTTTTAAACACAGACAACAATTCATGTACTTAAGAGTGACTAGCTCAGTCATCACAGGTAATTTACCAAATGAACAACAAACCTCCAAATAGCTTAAACTTTGTATACTTTCAGTGTGACAGTGGCAGCGGATGATGGAGTTTTCTCTGAAAAGGAAGGGTTGTCGGTTCAAGCCCCAGCTTTGGCTTTCAGTGCAGTTGTGTCCTTGGGCAAGACATTTCACCCACATTGCCTACTGAGGGTGGTCAGAGGGCGCAGTGGCGTCAGTCTACGGCAGCTTTGCCTCTGTCGGTGAGCTCCAGTGCAGCTATGGCTACAATGTAGCTCACCACCATGATTGTGTGAGTGAATGGTTAAATGACTGAATGTTGTGTAAAACACTTTTTCCTAACTTTTCCTAACTCACTAAAAGCTCTATTTAAGTTCAGGTCATTTACCATATGCAGGTTTTATGGTCTATCATTACTTTCCATCTGCTGATCCGGTGAATTACCAGTAAACAGAAGATTTTATCAAACATTGCCTACTAGAGGTGTGAGAAAACAAAAAATCCATCAAATAAAATGTTCTTAGTAGGCGACTTGCGTAGCCTTGTTATCAAATACTTTTCTTCTCGAGCTTAAGTAAATTCTTGAATGGCTACTCTTTACTCTCTTTTGTGTAAAAATATATTGAAGAGGTGCTTATTTTATGTCGGTACAACTTTTGGAGACCCCAACCACCTCTGTTTGGCTGAATGCTCTTTTAAAAGTTTTTCACAAGCATAAAGATAATTAACATTGGGACATAACAAATCAAAAGCAATTAATAATGGCAGGATAATAAAGCAACATAAAAAATGCAGCTTTTAATTTATTCATCCTGTAAATTTAATACATTCAACACAAATGTAGGAGATGCTGCCTTCTATAAATGTAACATGATTTCCCAAAAACCTAACTATCATATAAGATAATTATTACATTTGTGGGAAAGTATATAACATCCTGCAAATACAAATATTGATTGCTGATTGCCTATTGATACCCCTCCTGTTCTGCTCCAATCAGGCAGCTTTGCTCTGATCCTCGCAGATGTTTGTTTGGTTTGTTATGGACATAAAAAGTTGAATTACATTAAAAGCTGCATCTTTTGTTACGTTTGCAAGCATTAGAGGCTTCGGAGTATGCTTTGAAGATAAAAGCTGTCAGCATGCATATCAGCATTCCCACTCACTTCATTCTGGATCATGTTTATATGACGGGAGCAAAGGGTCTTAACGCAGTTGTAGATGTCCACAACTCCTTCACATTCGGCCATATCCAGCATGACATCCAGCACAATGTAGCAACCTGTCCTACCTGCCCCCGTACTGTAGCAGGGAAAAAGAGAGGAATGGACAAGCATAAGCAAATGCACTACAGTAAACTCATAGGAATCTTTTAAACGTTACAATAAAATAAAAAACAAAACAAAAAAACTCAAGAAAAGTCTAACTATTTTACACGTTTACACAATTAATGCAGAGAATAAAGGCAATCTTAATTTTTTTCTGTTTTTGTAATACATTTAGAAATAAAATCTATAAAATTTACCATTTTACCAATTTTTATGCATAAATAAACAATCCCATTTACTTAGAATGCCTTGAAAGTAGCTTTGGACTATTACATTTTTTTAAGTTGTGTGGAACTTCAGTTTTATTTCTTTTTGATTTTTCATTTAATTAAAATTTACAACCATGAAAACATACACACATACTTAAACAGATAAGTTACATATTTGTAGAAATCAGAATCGTAAAACATATGTTGGTAAACTTTTTATAAAGCGTTTTTCATCAAATGTAAATACAGAAACACATAGTCGCTCAATCAAGCCTTCATAACAGTAGAAAGTATTATTGTCAATAAAGTAACAGACAAACTAAATGGGAGTTAAAACAAATAAGCTCAATGGCTTCTGTAAAGTGGGCATTTGGCAACTTTTAATCTCCCAAAACCTTCAGCCATTCCATTTATAAGCAACTTATTATGATGGTCAGGATAACTAACTAGTACCCGTTACCACCTACCTCTTCCATGTTTTTATCTTCCTTGATTCTTCTGTTTTAGTAATCAGAGCTTGTGCACCTGATGCTGAAGTCTTCATCCTAATTTCCCATTCAAACTGTCAGATCCCTCGCTCTTTGAAATATCTGACTGTTCCGCTGCATCTTTCGGAACACATTACTAAAGGGTAGCTAATTTCAGTGACAGATAGCGGGCCATTGTGTTCTTTAATGGATGTGTAATTTGTAGTGATGGTGAGTGAGGCCTCATGAGGCATTGCAACTTTTGCTTCAGCAAAGGGATAATTTCTCGGAGTAGTAATAACTGTTCTCTTTTGATTATCAAGTGTGTATAATAAAAAAGGGCAACTTGGACAACGCACAGTGTTTGATGAATAGATCTTTGGAGAAGACAAAGCCATACTCCTTTTTTATTGGCCTTGGTGACTTAAACAAGAAAAACCTGAGCTTAAACAATCTAAGAGGCAGAAACTAGTGATGGGTCCAGCAACACTAATGCTCTAACAACTAAACACTGTTTGTGCGCATGTTGTTTCAAGAAAGTCACATGACCGATACAGGAGCTGTTTCAGACTGACTGACACACTAAACTGAGTTTATAAGTGCATCTGACAACGCAACAAATCTACAAAAAAATAAATTCTGATCTTTTGCGGTTTATCATCAAATTTATCAAGAAAAATGGGTCAGCCTTGAGCCCGAAAAGAAAGGTTTTAGCCGAGCGGGAGCATCCTGATCTCATAATTGATTCACAGTTCTTGTTGTTGTTGTGTCATCCTGTTGTGTCTTCCACATCGGTTCAAATTTATGGATTTTCTAAAAAATCCATCTTAAAAGTATAAAATATATTTTTAATTTAAACGGAAATATGAAATTATACATTAAATATGATTTTATTATTATAGGTCATCAAATCAGTGTCAGTTAGGCCGGTCAGAGTCTGCACAGTCTGTAGTGTTTTTAAATGTGCAGCAGGTGTCAGTATTCAGCCGCACAGTATCGCAATATGAATACAGCTTTCCAAACGCTTCCCGACGCCTCATGAACCCATCACTAGCAGAAACCAAACTGTTGGAAAGGACCATGTATCCCCATTCTCTCTCAAATACTGTTCTAATCAGCTTTCTCTGGTGTTCCCAGATATTTTAACACCCAGCTGGATGTATCAGTGGGCAGTTTGCCTCATAGCCTTTGCTATACTGTAATCCCTGTCCTGAAAACAGCCCCCAAGAAATTCAGAGTCATTGTCCAGATACTCGAGAGTCTGTCCCTGCTTCTCAGAACACCACAAGCTTCTCATAGGAGTGGATAAAAGTGGTTCATATCTAAACTAGGTCTCCTTTGTCTTTAAATTAAACTGTGTAATATTGACTAACAAGAAAATGTGTTTAATGTGTATGAACAAACATGTAATAAGGTTGTAACAGTTTTATAACAAAGATTCCTCAGTCAGTAAAATTGCAATGGATGATATATTGGCACAGGTGACTCTTCTGCAACACCTGCTCACACGGCTAAAAACCCAATAGGATAAACACTCTTGTTTACTTGACACAATTTAAAACTTCATCTGGTGGGAATAGATTCCTGTTTTCACATTCTTCAATTATGAGACATCATAGTTTTAATTTTTATTCATTTGTTTATCTGAATGCATAAAATCAAACAGCCTGGAAACTGGGCAGGGATTTTTCTTTAGTTTTTTGGAAAGTGCACAGATGCACTGAAGAGAATTTTCCTTTTCTATTTGTTTTGTTTATTTTGTATTTGTTGTGTTAAAGTCCCACTCATAACACACGGAGCAGCCTCTAAACATATTTTAAAAACGATTAAAAAAAACAGACGGTCTCTGGTTCTAGTTCATTGTGAAAGAGAAAAAAAAACAGCTAAGCTCTGGTTCGGATCAGTTTTTTCTTTTTGTCTCAAGTTTAAGTTGATAAATCACTGCACTGGGGGGCAGTCACTGCAGTGGCACTGGCAACTGGAGCTAGTTTGTGTGTAATGCCAAAAACAACAAAATATGTTATGGGCTGTGTATCAACCCACAGTCTGAAACAAGAAAAAAAATAAGCGCTTTTAAGACAACCAGGTCTACCGTTGTGATTCGATAGATTTGATCAATTGCCCCTCCTTAATGTGCAATAAAAGTATTAAAACAGAAGACATGGGAGGAACACCTTTTTTTAAGGTCCACACCTGCGTAAAGATAGGCCTACCTGCAGTGGACAACAACAGGTCCGGCATCGGGGGGGGTTGAGGCTTTGACTTGACGGAGGAAAGCCAACAAGCCAGTGGCATTATGGGGCACGCCATGCTCAGGCCAGGAAGTAAAGTGGAACTGGCACACCTCATGTTTGGCAGGGTAACCTCTCTTGAAAAATGTAATGGTTTTTATACAGTTAGTGGTGTTTATAGATAAAAAAACCCAGAAATATTAACAGGACGCTGCATGACATTCAACCACAAAGGACACAAAGGACCTCCTCAAAGGGGGAAGAGATTATAGGAGTATTTTAATTAGCAGTGATGAAAGCATAACTTACCCTCTCCACGGCGAAGGTGCGGACCGTATACTCTGCCAGGGTTTCTGTCTTCAGTAGTGTTACTTTAATGTCACCATACATTTCCATGTCATCGGGCCAGTATTTACAGCATTTCATCTGAACACAAATTATTTAAATATTGCTAAGCAATCTACAAAAACTACTTACAGTATCAAAAAAATGCAGGCTTCATTGTACCTAATCAAACCCTGATATCCACCCAAAAGTCTGAGTGAAACACATTTAACAAAAAAAAAAAGATGTTTATCAGACTTATACTTTGAAAATACCCCCGTCATTATAATTTCAAGAAGGAAAAAATTATCTTTTTATGTTTTACCAGTTTAAAGGAATAGTACACCCAAAACATGATTAGCCTTCATTTTCTACGCACCCCCATGCTGAACAACACTCTGGAGTACTTTTTTGATATCTCAAATGCATCTGGAGATCTGGGAGGCTTCTTGCTGTCTGCTGACATTCAAATAATGGAGGTCTATGGCGCCCGAGGCAGAAAGGTCCATAAAAGTCCACAAAAAACGTGTCAATATTCCTCCATACTGCTCGTCCAATGTATTCTAAGTGTCCTGAGTGGGTAGGGTCCATAATTTACTCAAAACGAAGTCATTTAGAATGTTTTTAGAGCATAAACAGTAGTGTATAGGATTTCCTAAAAGCGAGTTCACGAGTCTACGGAAACCGCGGCAGACCAAACCAGACGAAAGTGCGCATATAATGTAAAGAGCTTTGGTGTCCACTAACTTAAAATAGCACAGTATAAGTATATTATAACCCACTTCCTGTATCAGTCTGATAGTCGCATGCCCGACCTGTAGAGATTGCTCAATGGATGCTACAGCCAATGCTGCTGCTAGCTGCTCCTCACTATTCGTTTGTTTTTGGAAAAACCGCCTTGACTCTACACCACTGGTCAATTAACTTATGGTTACCTTCACCGTCGATCACTTTAGCTTCTTTTCAACTCGGCAGGTTTGCCCCCTTCTGTTGGCTCATGCTTTTTTTTTGATTGCTTATGTATATGTGTTGCGCAATACATTTGTGATTGAACTGTTAAAATACCTTGGTTTTCTTTTTGTTAACCCATGATTTCATCCTTGAATTATAAGTGCACTTTATTTTACCTTACTTGTGATTTTTGGAAATAGAAATCTTGTATATTTAAACTACTTGTATCTTAATGCTGTGATTTATGACATGTCTAACTATGACTTATTTTATTTTTTTAAGTATGATTTGTTTATTGCTAAGGTTAAATTTATTGTTTATTATTTTACTAATTTAAGATTCTGTCCTGATTTCAGGTCAGGGTTTTTTTGTTGTGCTGTTTCTTCGACTGTCCATTAGGTGGCGAGCTACCAGAGAACCACTGCTACAGTGTGGTACAAAGAATGTTTTGTTCAAGCCCAGATCCTCTGAATTTGGTTTCCCAATGGACCTCATGAACTGAAAACCTGTAACAAACTGAACTGAAGTTTTTTTTTTTTTTGGTCTCTTTTATTTTCTTTGAATTACTCTGTTGGGATATACAGTTTCCTTTCTCCCTTAAAATGACATTGATTATTTATATTTTTTTCCCCCTTTGTGTTATATATAAATGATAAATATATATATATATATATTATATAATATAGCTTATTAATCAACAGATCAGCTGTAGAGGTGGCCGAGTGTGTGGTGACTTCATAAGAAAGGGCAGGGCCCCAAACACCTCTGACCACCTGAGCAGATCTTGTACCTACTGTATACAATGCCGTAGCACCTCAGGTTGTTACAATCTATGGCAGGCCTGCCCTACGTCGGCTCGAGGGTCGCTGTGCTACAGGTCTTTAGGTGTCCTGCTTCAAAAAAGCTGATTTCCATTGATAGCTGATTAACAGACTTAACAGCAATTGTCAAAATTAGTGGAAGACAATCGTTTTTCTAATTTAAGAGGAATTTGCCTGGAGGCCCCATTGTTAACATTTTTTATTTTCAAACACAGCGTAATATGAGACCTTTAAATCATCTCCTCTTCCAATTCCAAATGTGGCTGCTGAGGTCAAGGAACAGAGGAAAGATAAACTTACCCTATTGACTTCAACCAGTTTGGTAAGCATAACAATGCTGAAGCAATTCTCGTGCCAAACCATTTTCCAAAATTCATAGATCTTCTCCTGCTTGGGGCCTGCAGAAAGAGGGAGGCCAAGAAAAAATGCAAGAAGAAGAGAGGAAGAGATGTGGAAAGACGAGGGGAGTGCAGAGAGGAGACACAAGTCAGAGAAAATTAGATGAAATATCTGTAAATGTAGAAGCACACATAATCCATGCCATTAACAATGCATGATTAGAACTATTGCCGTCTTTCTTTTCTCCTTTTCTTGTGAAAAAAGAACTTTTTAGGTGAGGTTATATTAATGTGTTACTTTATGAATAAGCAGAGCTGCCAAATGTCCCACTTTTAGTGCGACAGACATCATTTGACCCACTCGTACACCATATGACCTTCATCACGCTTATCCCCGCATTCAATACTCGCAGCAGCTGTAGTTGGTGTAACTTTGACGGGCTACCCCATCCCAGACCAATCTATCAGTTCTTTCTATCTAAATCTAACCAGCTACTGAAGGCACCATGCAATACAAACCAGCCAGAAGCATCAGAAGCACAGGTGTTAGTATCCCTACATATGATTCACACACAACAGTGCAAACATTTAAACCCCACTAGAGTTATTTGTTGTTTTCTTTTTATAATGTATTACTTTAAAGCTTCTACCCACTTAAGAAACCTCTGGTGGTCTCTTAAATATTTAGGGGAGAAGGAGTGTTTCTTAGACATGAAAATTTTGATAAATAGCCTGTATTCTTAAGTTAGAAAGTTAAGTTCCAAAAATTCTCAGCACTTAGGAGTAAAAAAGCACTCTTAGAAGTTTGATAAATATTGCCCCAGATTTTTAAGTTATTCCTCTCTTTTGGAACTAACTACCAGTTTTAATTTGTAAGGCAGACACCGTGTCTACTTTAAAGGCTGGCTTTCTTTGTTTGAAAAAGCTTATGAACAGAGAGAGCTAAAGTTATCATAAGCCATCACTATTGTTAGGCTGCTATAGGGTTAGGCTGCTGAAGGACATAGGGACCAATTTTCAGCACTACATTCCCCTTCCACTCTTAAATTTGTTGTTTTTTGTTAGTTCAACTCCTAGAGCTCAACAAAAAATTCCACTGTAGACTTCCTAATAGTTAAGAATCACAATAGTCCAGACTCAACTTAACCCCTTTCCTTGTCTACTTTTAAATTAAAGCCACCAATTTGAAAAATATATATTATTATAAAAATAAGAAAGGAGGTTAAAAAGCATTAAAATGGAAGGGAGGAGAGAAGTGAAAGCGGAGCTTTACGAAAAGTGACAGTTGATGCTGGTACGCCCTTGTGGCATAGGGCGGGCGGGCGGCAAATTGAATACAACTACATTACAGATGCAGATATGATACAAAAAAAGACTTCTTCATTTTTGAGTTTTAATTATTCAACAAACTAATTACCTAAGTGTCTAAGTGTGAACTCACCTTGAGTGGCAATAAAGTGGTTGGATCGCTGGTAGCCCTGTGTGAAAAAGAGGCACATGATTGAATGAGAGCCACTGATTCATTGTTCAATAATCTCATATTAGAAGAAGACCTGCCAGGTCTTTGCCTCTTTACAACCACTTTTTGATTGGGAATTTTCCCCATGGATAAACTTACACACATTAGTGCACTATCACAAACAGCTACAGGTGCTTGGATCTTGTTGCTTACATACTCATCAATTTGTATCTTCAGCTACCATTTTATACATTTTGTATTGATTAATACTATACACTGTGATGGTATCAATGTGTTGTATTGTATTTATAGTTTTATATCAGTAGGTTGTGTTGTTCGTTTTACATCTCTTTGGAGGTGAGGAAGCAGACAGATGAAGTTTTGTCACTCTCTCTCTTCTGTCTCCTCTTTCTCTCACATTTGCTCCCTTTTTTCTACTTTTTCAATGTAGTGTCCACATAACCTGAATTTTTTTATTCACTAATCATAATAAAACGATTTACATATATAAATCAAGCAGAGGACTATGGTAAAAGTGAGAATGCTTCAGTTGTGGAGCAAATTCTGTTGGGCTCTTCCTGCGGGATGCGGAAACATACATTAGATGAAGAGATTAGATGGACAGGTGGACTCGGACAGGATGCTCTGGAGTGCGTATTTAACCATTATCATGGGAATACTTTTCAAACTGAGCGTTTCGGAGAAAGGCAATAATAGAGGTGAAAGGGTTGGTTCTTTTTGTTTGTGAATCTCATACAGAGGCTTTAGGACATATTTGACTGTTACAAAAAGTTTAGAAAGTGAATTCTGCATAATGTGGGACCTTTAAATACGGACATTTTTCGTATTAGTTTTGACAAATGAACTTGTACGTGACCACAAATTAAATTAGTCAGAGCTTTAGCTGTGTGACACATCACAAAACAACATTGATAACAAAGCAAATAAAGCATCTCATCATTTCAGTCCCATTATTTAAATGGTGAGATCTTTGCTGCTTTTCCAAGCACAGTGTTATAGAACATAAGTATTATGCCTTTTGTGAAACATTGGAAATGTTAACATGCAGGTACATAAGATTTTCTTGTTTTGCACCATATCTTTTGCTATCTTTCAGGACCCTCTGTATACACTTCCCCACTAATAAAAGAAGGTAAGAACAACTGCTGAAGACAGTTTTATTAAAAGCAGTGTTAGGGGCGAAATGCTTGGGAGAGGACCCATGTAGGGCTTGGAGGCACCATGGGAGAGCAGGAACTGGGAAGATATGAAAATAGAGAACCAAGGTACTTACTTCCCTGTTAAACCAGATCAAAGAGGCAACAAAAGATAGAACATCAGAGGGGTAGGAAACAGAGAAAATAGATAGAGGAGCGGAAAAGAGCTATTTGTCGTGATTTCAGATTAGAGCGACAATGAAATGTTTAAAGACTAACAGGTACTACGAGAGAGCAGTAAAGAATATATATTAGGACTTTGCTTTTAAAGAAAACAGTATCTGTGTTCCTTTTCTTAAAGAAGTCATGCAGTGACCTACTTTATTTTCATTTTGTAAAAAGAGTAACACAGAGAAAATCTAATACCTGATCAAAGTTATGAGGCTCATTCGTCTCCAAAAAAGGTACAAAGAAACACTGAACGGCAGAGTTAGTGTTCACAAGCAAATAATTATATGTTGGTTTTCCAGTTAAAGAGTAATAACAGCAATATGTTCAAGTGTGAATTACTTTTGTCAAACAAATAAAGGAGGAAAGGCAGGCTGTAGATGATAAAGGCTCTACTTGTTCCTGCAAGTCGTTCTGGCCATTATTCCCAGATCACTCAAACAATCAATAGGTAAAGTTATTACATTAAATTACTTTCAACTCTTGATAGAATAGTATAAGTTATAACAATCATTGATATTAGTTAAAATACAATAATGTTAATAACAAACTTTGACTTTTGTTTTTTTGCTATTTCTTGTTTATCCAAGCAACACCTAGTTGCAAAAACTTCAGAATATCTGCACTAATATATCCTAAAAGCTTTTGTCTTGGCAGTAAACCTTTTATCAATAACCACCAAACAGGCTTAAATCCAAGGCAAGCAGTCTGTGCCACATTTGCTCAACAACTTCCTGATCTGGGTAATTATCTCTTCAATAAAACCTGTTAAACCTTTTCCCTGGTCTCACTGTTTAGTCTACAGCATTTGGGTCTGAACTTTAGTAAAATCATGACAATTAGCGTATTTTGAGCGAGGTTATTAGTGATGAAAATCCACTTTGATACAATTTTGAATCCTGTTTATCACATCCAGGGGCGGATCTAGAAAAATATTTATGGGGGTGGCGAGTGTGGGGAAGGAATTTTTTAGCGGTGGCAACATATGGCATTTGTTTACACTGAATTTAATCACAGTTTGGTGAGAATAGTATGTACAATATGTGTTTCATGTGAAACAGTTCATCTTAGAAATACATCGTACAATGAAATCTCACCTAATAGGAGATAGAAGAATGATAACACTACTTCTAGAGGGGCATTATGACAGGAAAGGTACTAAGGTAAGACACAGGTGCTGAGTCGCAGATGACTGTCAGAGAGGCAGCTTTGCAGCATTTGCACAAGAAGAAACTATAGAAAGAAAAAGTTCCCCATCAGAGATCTATGGACTGAGCTGTACTAAAGAGAGCATTATTGAAATAAATAAACTTTCAGTTATAACTATAAAAAGAAAAGAACCTGCAATTCTATGTATTTTTATTATATTTGTTGAATCTTTTAGGATAACCTGAGGGACGACATATTAAAAAGATGTTTCCGTACTTATTCTAGAATGTTCTGTTATGGGCATTGTCATTTTAAAAAATCCTCTATGTTTGATATTATGCTTGAGTATTTTCTCAAACAAGATAGAAAAAAATGATAGCTATCCTTGGAATCAGTTTTAAGATGTCTTCTGTCATCTTCCTCCATAAATCTATTTATGCTCTGTTTTTTGTTGTTGTTGTTGTTGACTATGATCTTTATTGGTGGGTAGGAAGGGAAAGAGTCCGTTATAATCAGCTGATTTCTTCTAAAGCACTTTCTGTGGCGCAATAGCTTTATAAAACGCACTAATAAGCCCTATTAAGCTAAATCGACCAGAGTTTGTTTGTTTCTTTTGTGCAGGTCTGATTTAAGCCCAGCTAAATCTGGTCCAGACCAAATAACTGGATAGAGTCTAACTTGCTGAAATGGTCTGATCCACTTCCTATTGGACTCTGGTGCAGGTTGCTTCAGGAATCATTACAAACTGGCCTCAGTCTCACCCAAATTCAAAAAGCTCACAGCTTTTGGGCTTAACAAGCTACTGTTGTATTAAATGTAATACTTGGAAACTATACCTGATCCACCTTATGTTGCCTAGCAACATCGCTACCAGGAAGTGTTTAATCTTCTTGGGTGGTATAAGGTAGGTAATGAGGTCTTTGAAGACAGTAATACTTTAGTTAAATACTGTTTATAAATGTCTGTATTTGATTGTAAAACTGAAATACAAAACTATGAGAAATCTTAAAAAATATTCAAGGACAATTACATTTCAAAGCATATATTTTTCTTTGAATAACTTTTTATCTGATCAGTAAAAGAAAACCAAAAATAACCCAAATTGAACGAAGAAGAAAGTTATTGTTTAAAAAAACAGCTAATCTATTTTAAAAAATGCATTCCGTGTTCAGCAGTTGGGATTAGAATGTTCGATAACACCTGGCATGTGATGTCACAAAGAGACTGCTGATGACATCACAGACTTTGGAAGGGATCTGAGCATAAACCCACCCAGTGTTCTTATCTGTTCCCGACCTTTCATCGAGACAGATCTCTTTTGAGAAGCACGTTCGAACCTTAGCGAAACCAGCCAGACATCGTTCTCAGATATCACACGTCTTTTAGGTCGATATTCTGATTGATAGAAAGTTAGCCATGGAGCAAAAACAGTTTGTTTGTGGAAATGAAACCTCTCCAGCTAAACTTTCATGGGAAGACATGATTGACCTCCCCATCCAGGTCGACTATGAGGCCATTATTTTCCCAGCTGAAGAAGACAGCTCTGTCACCAGCGAGCTGCATCTCAGCAAAGCAGAAGATGGTCCAGAGATCCAAGGGGAAGCAGTTTCTTCTGCTACCATTGAGGCTCCCCCCTTAGCGGAGGTTCAGCTGAAATCATCCATCGCTGCTGACTCTACGTCTCTAAACTCAGACGAGGTAAAGCAAGCATGTCAGCCATCTCCGAGGTTAGAAGAACCAAAGACTCGCCCCAGTTCGGGTCTTTCTTCTGAGGCGCCGTACTCACACCATCATGGTAAGTGTTTTATGGGTCAATACTAGGGTTGTCAACTCGATACAGATACTAAGTAAAACATTCGATACTCAATGTCATTTTCGATACCACAAGGATAAAAACAAAGACTCCAAAATTCTACAGAAATGTTCTAATTAATAAACAAAATACAATAAATAGATAAATAAATACAATAAACAACATTTTGAGGTTGTATGCTGTGCACAATATTAAGCAAGCTTGATAAAAAAAACTTACAAAATTAAAATTAAGTGTTCCTTCCTTGGCTATGCTTTGCACACACATAACAATGGCACTAGCCAAACCGGTGAAGAAACAAAAATCATTCTCAGCAGCGGCACCTGTTACAGAAAAAAGTCTGAAACGGAAAAGTGCACAAAATTATTCAATCACACAGTGTTCTGAAAGTGCATTTTCCTCTATTCTGCACTTTAGATGAATGACTGCTTAGGTGCCACTGGTGGTAGCACTGTATCGGTACTTTTGAAAATGAAAATTGTATCCAGATACAACTTTTCAGTATCGATACTTTTTTGAGTATCGATACTTTTGACAATCCTAGTCAATACAAACATGCAGTTTGGCCACATGTTGATAACCCAGTTCTTTATGTGTCTTCCAAACCAGATAAAAACAGGAGAAAGCCATGGCACACCGGGACCAACAGAAAAACTGATGTTGACCGCCCCA